TATAAGATTACTAGATCAAATCTTTTTACTAATGTGAAGACTTTGTTGGCGGACAATCTTTAAGTACATTTGCATGTAGTCCTCACAATGGTAATTCTTATGATCTAACTCACCTAAACTTTTTTATATAAAAAAATAAAAGCAAAATTAAAAAATTATTATTAAATTTTTAGGTAGAGTTCATTGGCTTTAAAGCTTTTACTCATTATAATAAAATATATTGAAAGTGAATTAAAGCCAAGATTAGATTAATAGTATGTCTTTGAAACTTGTCGCACCAAAAAATATACATAGGAGTATCTTGAACCACATACCTTTTGGATGGACAAAGTTAATTCTCCGGAAAAAAATATATAAATTTTTAATAATAACATTATAATTTGAAGAAATGACAATTAAGGACTCCTTAAGGATATTGATTTCAATTAAAGCCCATAAAATTTTAAAATCTCAATTAAAGATCTTAGGATGAAAAAAATGCAGTTTGTCTTAAATACTCCTAAGATTCACTAACATTACTTGGAGATTTACTAATTCGATTTAAAAAAATTGCTAATGTATATTGTAAAAATATGAAACCCCTATTGAAAATTGATTATTTAACAAAAAATGTCACTTGAAAATTCATCAACTCGACTTGAAAATTTTTTTAACGTATATTATAAAAATATAAAACCCTACTCAAAAATCAATTATTTAAAAAAAAGCGTCATTTGAGAATTTACTAACTCGACTTGAGAAAATTTTTAACATATATTGTGAAAAAATAAAACCTCAATTGAAAATTGATTGTTTAACAATAAGTGCTTATCCAAGTTGAGATTCACTAACGTGATGTGAGATTCACTAACGCCACTTAAAAATTTATTAGCTCAACATGAAAAAATTGCTAACATATATTGTGAAAATAATATAATTGGGATTTCAACATAATTGAATTTTTCTTCTCAAGGGTATTTAAGACAAACTATATTTTGTTTATCCCAATTAAGAACTATGATCTTTAATTGAGATTTTAAAATTTTATGATTCTTAATTAAGATTAATATTTTTAGGGGGTTCTTAATTGTCATTTTCCCTTATAATTTTTAACTATTATATTAATTAAGATAGTGAATAACTTATACGGTGTCAACGTATTCGGTCAAAAAAAAGAACTGGTCCCTTCATTATTTTTGATAAGATAATAAGATAATATAATTTATTGATAAGAATATATTTTCTTAGTTTATAAAACCAAAACATCAATACTTAGTCACAGCCAAAGATTACTGTTTTCCCCCCGCCAAGTGGCCGAAGATTACTTAATGCCGAATGAGTTAATCAAAGGCGTTAAAATTTGGAATGATTAATGGAAGACACTTCATTAAAAGCTTAACCCACGAGTAGTTTGGTTTCTTGAAAAGTTCAAGAACAATTTAATTTTAACCACCCCAGAAGAAATATAAAACAATGCCATGCCTTTTTCTTTTCTTATTTTTCCTTTTTATTGTTATTTTTCTTTATTATTTAATGAAATTTTTGTTTATTTCAGAAAAAAGAATGACCCGCCCAACAAAGAATAATAAGAAGAAAAAAAGAAGAAGAACAATCGCCTTGAGAAAGCAAAACCAGATCATTTCATTTTTGTTATTGAGGTACTGAAAATTGAACCAGTCAAGATAATAAATTAACAGTTGGTGGTTCAATGGGAGTCAACTTTGAGTCAAACAAGGCTTAATTAAAATAATATAATTTAATTTATGTGTGCACAAATATTTATATTTATATATATAATGAATATTTTTAAAAATCATTAATTCTCTTGGAAATGGAACAATTACCTATAAAATCTTATACTACCTCCATCTCAAATTATATGACACTTTTAAATGAATTTATCTGTCCTGAGATATAAAACACTCTAAGTATATTAAGGTTTCATCAAATACACCAATTTCAATATTGTCTTTTCTTTCTCTATAATTAATTTTTATCATTTCTCTTTTTAATATATCAAATGATGGGTAGTTTAAAAAGTTTATATTTTTATTTTAAAAAAATAAAATTGTTAAGTGTATTTAATAAGATTTATTGGTATGTAATATTTTATATAAAAGTATCTTATAATTTAAGATGAAGGGAGTACATGTTAGAATAATACCAACAAGTATCAAACAAACTCACAATCCCAACAAAATGTTAAGTAATTTAGCTCTAATATCCTAACAAAAATTTAATACAAAATAATAATATTCTTTTAAACAATCATAATAATAAAAAAACAAAAAATAATGGTAGCACAAAAAGAATTAATAATGATAAAAAATAAAAAAATTGAGAATTGTAAGATTAAAAAAATTAAAATAAAAAAATTAAAATAAATGATGCTTGAATACTCGATAATGTCAAAAAAAATTTGGCCAACCAACAATATCAAATTTAAGATTCACATATTCCAAGAAAAGTAAAGAAATTGTGTATCGGCGGAGGAAACGGGTGTCAAATAGGAGATATTTGGCCAACATTAGGAACGTCACACTTCACAGTGGTTTCTTCTCCTCTTTGTCCTTTTCTTCTGCATTAGTGCATTTCAATAGGGTTTTAAACATATACAGGTGTTTTCTAACTCTTTGGAAGCTGTTAACATTATCTCTCGAGACAATGGCCATTCTCATCTGCTATAGGATTTGATCAAGGAAATTAGAGTTTTTTTCTATAGCGATTGAGAGATCACGATTCAACATATATCCAGAGACAATTTGAGATGTGCGAATTTAATTGCCAAAAATGCTCACATTGAAAGATAGGATATTTATGTCATGTAGACCTGTCCTGCGTTTTGTTTGGATTTGCTAGGTGCAGATATGTCTAGTATTGCTTAAACTATTTCAAGCTTAGGCTTGTCATTTTTCTTCCAAAAAATAAAATCATTGAAGAAGAACAATGACACAAAGCATTACCTCCAGCAATGAGATGAAGGCACCAAGCACCACCAAAGAAACACAGGGCAAACCTGAACGAGAGGATGATGGAAGCAAACATGCAAACTCCATGGCAAAGTAGAGTTCACATAATTAAGCTGGATGGCGACTTGATGGCAATATTTCATTCCCAATCATTTCAGGTTTTTTAGCCCTAAAACGACTTCTTTCTGAAATTATGACAAGCAAAATTTTTAATTCAATCAATCCAACCAAATTGTTGAGTTACATGGGTTATTTCGATTAACTCCAGGTTGTCTAGGTTAATCCCATCCATGTTTTAGTGCGAAACCGAACCTAATTCAATGAACTGACCACTCCATGATTTCTACTCTTAATTGCGTTTAAAATCTATAAATCTTAAATGACTAAGTAATCAATCAGTCCAAACTTGTCGCATCATAAAGAATTTTAAAAAGAAAAATGATGGTAAAATAAAAAAAGATATTAATGATAGTTATTTTTTTTGACAAAAATTTCTAACAAATAAATTGTATGAATTGATCAAGATAGTTACAAACAAGAATCCTAACGATAAAATAAGAGTTACTCTTAAAATTTAAATATCCTATTTCCAATTATAATACGTAGGTTTTTAATTATTTGGATAAATATTTATAATTTATTTTTTAAAAAAATTATTAAAAATTTAACTATCATTAATTTATTATGAATAATAGTTAAGTCATAAAAGAATAAATTAACAACAATTATGTTCTTAGTAATTTGTTCTTTGAAAAAAATAAGTTGTAACTATTTATGAAAATAATTGCAAATCTAGGTGTTCTAATTAAATTTAAATGTAATTCTCAATTTATAATTAGAATTCATGTTTGCAACTGTCTAGATCCAGAATCAATTTTAATATTTATTATAGAGATGAGTATTGAGAGCTCATCGTCATTGAACTGTTTAAATTTAATTTTCATGGTCTAGATTTGTAATTTTCCAATAGGTATTTTTTAAATCAAAATTATTTTCTTAAAAAATTGGAAATTAAGAGATTGCATTTATTTTAGATTTTATATTCATTAAAATAATTTTTAAAAAATGAAAGTGAAAAATTGTAAATCTAGACCATCAAGAGCAAATCTGAATGGTCTAAATATGATAAGCTTTAAGTACTTATCTATAAGCATTATAATTGGTTTCATCTAAAATCCTTTTTTCTTTTAAGTTTTACCAAGAAGATAAATAACTTTATTGTCATTTTTCTTTTTAAAATTCTTACGGCGTGGTTGATTATGGACCAATTAATTACTGATATTAAGAATTGCTGAGATTAGCATGATTTGCATTTGGTACTCATCATTTCGATGAGCATCGCATGCTCATCAAGGCCAGGAGCAATCCTAACCCTCCATTTCAGTTCAAATTAATCACTGTAATCTATTTAAATTAATTTTTAAATATTTTAAATATTATATTTATTAATATAAAAATATAAAAATTTAAAATTTTAATAAATATATTTATCATCAATCTGATAAGTACAGATTTAATTTAACGCTCTAATTTAATATTAAAATTTTTTATAATTTCACAATTTGACTGTGTAGATAATCTTTGGACAATTTATATACTCCCTTCGTTTTTATTTGTAGGAGAAACTATCACTTTTTATTTATTTTTTATGTAAGCAAAATCACCTATTTCAATAAATATTTATTATACATTTTCTAAATCACCCCTCACAATTTATATTTACAAAAAATAATTAATACATACTTATGTTGATTAATATAGGGCATTTTAGTTCAATTCTTTTATTTTTAAATATAATTATTATGATTAATTAACTTTATTAAATTATGTGAAACATTTTTTTATATATAAAAATGGAGGGAGTATAATTTAAATTACCTCATTTAATATTAAAAAATTTATAAAATTTATAAATTAACTATTTAAATATATTTTAAATAATCTAAATTTAATATTAAAATTTTTTATTTTAATAAATATAATATTAAAAATTAATTTAAATGAACGATAGATGAATTTGAATTGGAATGAAAGGTAAGATTGCTGGCCCGGTGCTGTGATGAGCATCGAATGCAACGCGAGATTAGCGAGTGTGAGAGGATCTGGTTCCGGAGGGAGCTTCTTGCGGATGAAAATGCAACCTTCACGAACTACGCCCTTTAGATCCTTCACGATCTGATGACTGATACCATACCCTCTCATCCTCGGAGTCCGAGAGTAGTTTTGTTCATTTAATCTGTATTGGTCACGCTTCAGCGTCCTCTGATCCTCACTACAAGACAAGTAGTCATGGACTCCGATCAGAAACAAAAGTGGAATTGGAAGCGGGTTTCCTGAGAAATTTGAAAAGACAAGTCACTCCATGAAACTGTCGTATCTTCAATCATCTTCACTGGTTGGGAAGTTCAATTTGTCTTCTTTCTCTCTTCATTTCATTCCCACCCTTTTAAGCCCACTTCTCATAAACAACGAAACAATTCACGCTGGGTTGAGCTGAAATGGACATTCCCCAATTAGCGACGTTTCTCTGTTTCACCTCGCAAGAGAAACTGATGAACATAGTCCAAGTGAGACAACCTCGGGATCTCCGTTGCCGGAGCGGCAGTTTCGTGGACCCCAACGGTCTGACCCACCAATTGTTCGATGAAATACCTATCAGGGATACATTTGCCTGGAATAATCTCATTCAAATCCATCTCTCAAATGGAGATTTCAACAGTGCATTATCAACGTACGATCAAATGCTACTCCGCGGAGTTCGTCCTGATAGACATACTCTTCCTCGCGTGGTTGCTGCTACACGTCTATTGGGCGATTTATCCATTGGTAGGCAGGTCCATGGGCAAGCTCTGAAACTCGGATTCTCCTCTGACCAGTACGCTATTACTGCTTTGATTGAGATGTATGGGCATCTAGATAGTGTGGATATGGCTAAGTTGATCTTCGACAAGTCTCCTCACCGGAATTTAGTGTCTTGGACGCTGCTTGCCAGATTATACATTGATCAGGGAAAACCAAGTTCGACCCTTGATTTATTCCATCAGATGGTGGACCTAGGGGTGCCTACTGATCCAGTTGCCTTAGCAACAGCAACCAGTGCCTGCGGATTGCTAAAATCTCTGCAAAAAGGAAAACTAGTGCACGAGATTGCCAGGAAATGTGGATTAGAGTTTGATGTTTTAGTGAGTAATTCGCTCGTGAAAATGTATATAGATTGCGACAGTTTAGAAGATGCTCGGCTGATGTTTGATCAGATGCCTTTTAAGGATGTTATATCATGGACTTTAATGATTCGTTCTCATGTGAGGATAGGAGGATTCAACGAAGGTCTGAAATTATTTCGACAGATGAACTTGAGTGGTTTGAAGCCTGATCCACTCTCAGTTGCCAGCATTCTCCCTGCTTGCGGGAGAATCACTTCCCATAAACACGGTAAAGAAATCCATGGCTATTTGCTTAGAAACGGCATTCAATTAAACCTGAAGCTCAAGAATGCACTCATGGACATGTATGTGAAATCAGGAGCTATCGCATGTGCTTCAAATATTTTTGTTGAACTGAATGAAAAAGATGTGATTACATGGACCGTGATGATATTGGGCTATAGCCTACACGGTCAAGGAAAGCTTGGAGTTGATTTTTTCTGCCAGATGGAGAAAAATTCAAAGGCACGTCTAGATGATATTACCTATTCTGCTGTCCTTCATGCATGTAGCACCGCACGCTTGGTTGAGGAAGGGAAGTTTTACTTCAACCGCATAAGGTCACCCACAGTGGCTCACTATGCTCTAATGGTTGCTCTGTTAGCACGAGCTGGGCTTTTTAATGAGGCGATGTCCTTTGTTAAGGAACGCGATATTGGAAAACATGCCCAGGTACAGAGGAAATTGCTAGAAGGATGCAGGATTCACCACCAACACACTCTAGGTAAGCAAGTGGTTGAACGACTTTGTGATTTGGAACCTCTAAATTCTGAAAATTACGTTCTTCTTCTGAATTGGTACGCTGGGAATGCAAAGTGGCTCATGGTAGATAAAATAAGGGAAACGATCAGAGACATGGGGTTGAAACCCAGAAAAGCCTATTCTTGGATCGTGTTCAGGAATAAAGTTCATGCCTTTGGAACAGGGGATGTATCGCATCCAAGGTCAGCGAGAATATATTCGGAATTACAGCGTTTCATGGAGGGAATGAGAATCCAAGGAGTTGAGCCTATCTGGGATTTCAAGCTTCATGATGTAGATGAAGAGCGGGAGTGCATTCAGATTGGACACAGCGAACTATTAGCAATTTCGTTTGGGCTTATCAGTTCACAAGCTGGACCTATACGGGTTACAAAAAATGTCACGGTTTGTCATGGGTGCCACGATTTTGTCAAGTTCATTTCCAAGGCTACCAGAAGAGAAATCATTCTCAAGGACCCAAACCTCTTTCATAATTTTGAGGACGGATTCTGTTCATGTGAGGACTTTTGGTAAACTATAGCATTTTGAGCATAATTGCTTGGCCAATATTTTCTCCTGACTCTACCTAGTTGTCCTTATTCGATAATTAAACAAATGTTCCCCCCCCCAAAAAAAAAAAATCAATTAGCTTTAGCACATTGCATATGTGATCGGCTTATGAATTATGATAGCTTGAACTAAGAATTTTATTTTTATTATTTTTAAAAACAGTTGGAGAAATTTAGCATATTTATGCGATCTTTGAGAGTTTATTCCACATTTAGTTTTATGCTGACAAAAATCAAGTTAATCATCACTCATGAATAGAATGATGTATTTTTTAAAATAACATCTTGCTTTTCCATCAAATTGGTAAAATCTTTTTTTTTTTCCATTTCTAATGAGTAATTTCGAAGCTTGATTGATTTGTGAATTTATCAAATATAATTCAACAGAGACATTCAGTTCGTTATGGATGTATGATCCATAATAAGCTAATACTGTTAATCAGCTATAAATACTAAACGGTCCAACTCATTTTCTTACACGAGGGAGTAGAAGTACACAATCCATAAATAATAAAAGTATATCAAATAAGATTATCTCCAATTAAAAAATATCTGTATATAATTAAAATAAAAGAGCCCAAGTTCAAGGACAATGCAAAGTTGGGACAGTCCGTAAGTGCAAAGCTGCATTAGTTACAACTGATATATAGATGTATTTTGCCGACAAGTTACAACTGATTTTCACTGCAAGCCAACGGCAGTTAGGATCACTTTACTAATTTACATTTTCCTCTTCCCGGAATTACAAGCGCTAGAAAAAAGGAAGAGAGAGAGAGAGAGAGAAGACTAAGTCAGCGAACAATCACTACAAATTAAGCACACACTCCTCTTCTGAACTAAAGCAAGCCAATCCTGTACTCGTATCAAGCTCCAAAGATTATATATTAGTCATTAGAAATTTAGAATTACTCATACGAAATTTGAAAGGAACTTCTGGCAGCTTATTTACACGCGGAAAAGCCCCATTAAACATTAGCGCTGGAGGTTTGAAGGGGGAAATAGGGAATAGCGATCGAAGGTTGAATTTCTGGAACGAAATCGGGCCATCCGTTTGCCGGAAAAAGACCCGACCCAAATCAGCAGCCAAAACCTTAAGTATTTTATATTTTATTTTATAAAATTATAAACTGGGGGGAAATAATAGTTAAAACTGCTAAAATTACGAGGAAAGCAGATGACCAGCTAAAGACGAAGGAGTAAGGACGCTCCTGTTTCAAAATTTGGATGACTCGGATAAGACTCCTTGCAGAGAGCCAAGTCCACCCGCGCTCGCAAACTCAGATTGACTGGGATTTCGATTACTAGGGCTTCAACTTTTGTCGCTGTAAGCCTTATTTTCTCTGAGCTAATCACTCGTGTTTGAATTTTTGTCTCGGTAGTTTCCTCTCTGGTGGTTTCTGACAAACCGTTGGATAGGGAGAAGGTAATGGTTTGGAGTGTTTAGTATTCTGTACATTTAGTAAATTTTGTCTCTGCAAAATATTGTGGCGCGTTGACGATGTTGGCTCGGTTCAATTTTTTCCTCTATGAATTACAAGTAATATTTCACTTGGAGCTCTAAGCTGCATTTTTTTTTCTGTCATCTTTTTGGTTTCTCGTGCTCTCACGAAACTAAGTGGTATGTCTTAACTTCAAGTCCCTTACCTCTGCTTATTTGAGTGTTTCGCGCTATCACTTTGTAAAGATGTTGAGTAATAAATCTCGAGAGATTCGGATCTTTGAAGGCTTTGTTCGTCGTGAACCCTAATTTCTTGCTGCAAAGGTAAAAGAGTTGGGGTTCTTTCGCGCTCCAAGGATGGAAACTGAGGATGGAACAAGCAATGGGGATAACACAGAATGTTCTGAAGCGGTTCAGTGCCTGAAGGGTGCAGCTGTAAATAATGGGGTTGCAGATAGCAATGATGTTGAAAAAGGGGCTCAGCGCTTGGATTGCGAAGCTGTAAATAATGGGGTGGTAATTGCGGGCGGGAACGATGTTGCTCAAGGGGACTCTGCTGTAGTTGAAAGCTTTCGAACTTACAAGAGACGTAGGCATGTAAAGTTGAATCCAGAAAGCAAAGCTCAAGAAGATTGCAGAACATACTCAGAAGCTGCAAGTCGTCTAGCAGGCCAGGTTTTATTCCCCTGGTTTTCCAATTACATTGCATCAGTGAATGCTAACCTTTCTCTAGCATCATTCTGGATAATGATTTCCTTGTGTGTGTATTATTTGTATGCATCTTGAGGAATAGTTGGAGATGTAACCTGCAAAACATTTATGATTTGGAGAGGCATACATTAACTTGGGAATGATGATCACTTAGCTTGTTAGATACACATGTATCTTCCAACAACTTTCAGTGGGTTAGTAAGGGGTGATTATGGAGTAGCCTGCAAGATTGTAGGCACTAAGGGGTATGCATGTATCCGTGAGACTGGAACTTGTAATTACCCATAGTTATTTCTGTCAAAAAGAGGAAGATGTATAGTGTGGAGCGATGTTGTTCTTCTCAGGTTCTTCCTGTCTGTAATTATTGATTAGGCACTTCATTTTGCTACCTTTTGTATCATCTCCTCTCACCAAAGATGTCAGGTTTCAAGTGTCTGGCCATTAACATTTACTTCTGAATCCAAGCGTTTAGTTTTTAGAGAAAATTTATTTAGTTGGTGTAGATCATTAGAATGTGAAAATTAAGAAATATCAAACTTGCATGATGCTAATGCTTGATCAGGAGAAAATAAGATGCTATTGACATGTGCATTTTGTCCGCTTTTGTGTGGTGTTCTTAATTTTTGATGCTATATGGAGTCACGTTTTATATTTGAAGTCAATAGTATGTTTGATTCATGTCTTGAAAACTATAGGTTACTATTTATATATGTGATTTAAGAACATAAAATTGCTGAGGGCATGCAAACATGAAACGATCCAGATTCCGGAGCATCATTTATTTGCTATCACTGATCTTTGTAAAAGTTAACCCCAACATCCTCCACTCTTCAGTGCATAAATAATTGACAGCAAGAGGATATGCTTGATTTCTGAATGAAATCATTGGGGGTCATTCATTATAATTTTGACAGCAAGAGGATAAACTTTATTTGCATTAAGCATGACTAAGATCTGATTTTTCTTCATCTGTACTGTTGCAATAAACAATTATTCTCTGTTCTTATGGAGTTGAGTTATAATGAATAATGATACCTAAAACACTGAGATAGTGATCTACATGGATACATTGGTGACGGATAATGCTGAACCTTCCATTAGAGGGGGCTAATTTGCTTGGTTCATTCAAGGTGTGCCATGATTGTTGATGACATTATTGCTAACTGTATAACGTCCTGTTTAATATGAAAAAGATGCTATTGGTATGTTCATTTTACTAGAGATGATGTTCGCCCATGGCACACAATCAACTTGAATCATTAGATATACAATTCTGTTGGTTCTTTCTGCAAAGCCATGATTGGAATTTTCTTATTGCAGGCTGTAAAGAAACCATGTAATGTAGCTGTAGGAAATACTTTGGATAAGCATTCACATGCACATTGGGGAAATGTTGTATTAATGCATTTGTATCAGTCACTAGGCGATGATAAAGATGGCATAGAAGGATGCATGAGGGAAGCTCTCATGCGCTATCCTAAAATTAGTTGTGCCACTACTTTAAAGGTTTGGTTCTACTACAAGAACTGTTTATATCCTGCTTTTATGACTCCCTTCTAAATGCATTATTCTATGATGCATCTCATTTTGTTGCAGGAAACTTGTAAAATTGACAAAGTTGGAGAAGATTACTCTCCACGCTTTGAGCTGATGTCTCATAGATTACGGAAGGAAGTTAATGGGCATGCAAATGTCTTGTGCAATGGATCTTGTAACGAGTCAAACAGTCCTGATGCAAATGAGATGTGTCAGCGTGTGCTATGTAATATCTTAGTGTCTGAGAAATTCAGTTCGTTATGTAAGGTGCTAATAGAAAATTTTAAAGGAATGAAGCCTGAAAGTGTATTTGACTTCAGTATCATAAACTCAAGGTTGAAAGAGCAAGCTTATGAACAGTCACCCACACTTTTTTTGTCAGATATTCAACAGGTAATGTTCTGCATTTGTAATTTCTTGTAGATCTGCTTAATATGGCACTTTTTCTGTGTTTCTTCTTGGTTTATATTTCTTTTTGTATAGATCGGCTGTGTTTTGTGTTGTTATAGTCTCCCTTTTTGTTTTGAAATTTGCATTTTGCAGTCTCTTCATTTATTTTATCCAATTCATCATCTCCTCTATTGAGTTAGTCTCAACTGTATCTCTGTTTACCCCTCCAACTGACCTGCTTTTTATAAATTGATATTTTCTATGCTTAGTTTACTTTAGTTTTTGGCTTTTATTGTTGGAAAAAATGAATTTATGCCTGTATACCCTCAAAGTTTTAAAGTCAGACAGTTTGTTCTGATAACTGGCACAACAAGATCTCTAGTTTGCAACACTTTTAATGGCCTTTTCGTTTTAGTTACTTTATCCTTATTGTTCAACTTTGTGAAATTCCCAAACTGGTGCATTCCTGGCTCAAGTTATGCGTTCTTTTTTCTTTTCACTACTAGTATCTTAGGATGGCCAAAAGTATATTTTCATCCGTTAAGGTTGGGTTGAGTTCTACTACTTAACTTGGTAATTGAGGGGCACAAATCGAAAGTTAGATGTGAAGTGTGTGGGCAGTAATTTATTTTTAATTTTCTTACAAAAGAAATTAGAAATGTTTTAAAAGCCAAATTAAAGCTGTTTTTTTTTTTTTGGGAGGGGGGTGGGTTTACCTACTAGCTTACTTTTTCTATATGGAAAATGTTGGTGAAGTCAATCATCTTAAGTGGCTTCTATGCCAGCCAAAAAGTGAGGGTTACATCATGCCACCTTTCTCCTCTTCTCTACTATTTTACTGTTTCTCTATAATATTGCCCATCTTGGTCGCAATCCCAGGAATAGTACCTGAGTTTCCGATGCATTCTAATCATAATCTGGATCAAATACTAAAAGGTTAAGGTTCATTTTTGCTATTGAACTATTTTCATAGGAGCACCCAGTGTCCTAAATTCTTTGTTGTGGCAATGTCACCCTTAAAGTAATGAAGTAACTAAATTATAACAATATTGCCTATGGGCAAACACTGACAGTTACTTTTGCTGACTCAAGAATAAGTTTGACTCAAATTATAGCAATGTTGCCCCCAATGTTGAGTTTGAACCAACAAAGTTAATGGTCAACATTTGCCCATTTAACATCAGGGGCAATATTACTATGATTTAATTATGTCAAGGGCAACGTTGCTACGGCCAAGAGTTTAGAACATTAAGTGCTGCTACAAAAATAGTACAAGGACAACAATATATCTTAACCCAACACTGAATAGGATGACCTGGTGTGGACAATGGCAGCTCCATTATTTAGGGTTTTTTGGTGAGGTTTTAACCTTGAAATCCGAAAGGAGAATTAAAGCATCATTCTTAAAATAATATGAAGTTGATGAATAAGTCTTTCCCCCCTCCATCTTTGAGCATTGGCTAAAAAAGAGAAAAACTAATAATATTTTTTCTAGAATTTGTTTAGCATGATCAATTGTTCAACCATAGATTAAAGCTAAGCGGATAGCTTCTTAATAGCAGTTTTTCCTGGTAATGATTTGAATTTTTTTTTTTTTAGAAATTAATACCCTTTAAGAAAGATACTTCTCCCAAATTGAGAAAGTATGAGGATTGTAATGGCAGGATCAATTTCATGTATTCAGTCATTTTGTCAAGCAGTTCTCAGACTGATGCCATGGGCAAGGGAGCCTCTATTTTTGCATCAACAATTAATGGATTGCTATTATCTCATTGAGCATTGAATTTATTTTGAAGATTTTACTCTGTTAAATTTGTTAAATGTTGGAGTTATCATATCAATTTTTCTGCCCCAATCTGTTGTTAATTATATAAATTGTTTGAGTTGAACCAATTATTTTATTGTGTCTTGATGCAAAGTGAACTTATGCTTGGTTTACAAAATATCTTATATGGGTCTCTTTTAGGTTGCTCCATCATATTAGTTCTAGCTTGAGCATATAATTGAGGAATTTGATTACTGGTTCTTATTTAATATGACTTAAACTTACGGATCTTTTAAGATTTGGAGAAAACTTCAAGACACTGGTAATGAGATTGTTTCTCTTGCCAAGGGCCTTTCAGACATGTCGAGAACTTTCTACTGTGAGCAGGTAAAGCAAATCCTTGTACTTTTGAAACACTGAAGTTCTGTAATCTGTTCTTTGCTTCTTGTAAACAACTAACCATATTTTTTCTTCACCTTCAGGCTGGAGTTTCACTGCATAGCACATTCAAAGATGGAAAGCAGGAGGTAAAGAGTTTTTATTTATTGGCATTTCATGATATGATTGAACTGATATGGGAACAGTTCAAAGGCAATTCTTTATTCAGATAGATTTTTCTCTCGGGGCTTGTATGGTATGAAGATGGATAGGGATTCTCATTTTTGTAATTTATAACTATTATGATAATTACTTTGCAATGTTCATTGTTTCTTACTTTCTCTAAACAGAGGTGAGAGAGTCATTTTTCATCTATGAACTTTTTACCCCATTTTATTTCCCTTTCTATTCATTTTCATTCTGCATATCAAATGAGGGCTCAGATCACAACTATAGCAGCAGTTGATATTTTGGTCTATATAATCAGCAGAAAGTTTCACTGAATTCCCAACCTTATCATACATAAGCCACTATCCAGTGCATTTTACCTAATTTATTTCTTTTGCAAATCATTATGACTGTCAACTGTAGTTGCTACATGAACGAAAAATTGATCACCCACATTCAGCTTTGTGCATGAGCACCTTGTAGTTCTCTGTTTGGGAAAGAAAGGACATGAAGAATTTAGATATTATTTTGCCTTTGAAATCTAATATTTTTTCTGGAATCAGATCACCAAGGCGGGTATGGTTCTGCATCTATGTCTGAATGTCGTTTCTGTTATCTTTCTAGGTTTTGCAGATTTTGTCATCAACGATGCATGTGATATGTTTATACTGTAAAAGCTCTGCCCTTTTATTCTGTTGCTTTTTCAGTACCAAATGCACTTATTTCATATGATGAGTTTTTGCATGAGAGAATTTCTAAAATGGTCTTTGAGATTTATTGTGATCTCTGTGTCAACTGGTTCTGTAACCAGGAATCTGATTCGCACATGAAACCGGAGCAGACAGAAGATTGTAGCATGTATAAAATTTGCACTTGCAGGCATTGTGGAAACAAAGCAAATGGGAAAGACTGTTTGGTTTGTGATTCATGTGAGGAGATGTTCCATATCTCCTGTATTGAGCCTCCTGTCAAAGAGATACCACACAAGAGCTGGTACTGTGCCAAATGCACTGCCAGTGGAATCGGATCTCCACATGAAAATTGTGTGGTATGTGAAAGGTTGAATGACTCGAGGACCCTGAACTTTGATGAGAACTTCCCTGTAAACGAGGAAACAATTAATGAATTGGAAGAGAATTCAAATTGCACCTATGATGGGGCTCAAGCATCTAGACGAGGGGAAATTGACAAGATCTGCAAAGTTTGTAAAAATGAAGTGGATGAAGGTGAAAGGATTAAAGTCTGTGGTCACTCCTTCTGCTCAGATAAGTACTACCATGTAAGGTGTTTAACAAGTAAACAGTTGACATCATATGGTCCCTGTTGGTACTGCCCTTCTTGCTTATGCCAAGTTTGTCTCACTGATAAAGATGATGATCAGATTGTTATCTGTGATGGCTGTGACGATGCATACCACATATATTGCATGAAACCTGCCCGAACTTCTATTCCCAAGGGAAAATGGTTCTGCAGAAAATGTGATACAGGGTTACAAGTAATACGACGGGCGAAAAAGGTATTTGAGAGTAAAAGGCAGAGAAAAACAAGCGAAGATGGTTCAAAACCAGTTGATGGATTTGAAAAAAATTGGAACGATAAACATGGACGAGATTTGGATAAAGGTGGAGGAATGGACATGCTTTTAACTGCAGCCAATACTTTGAATTTGGAAGAGGACTTGGCTGCAATCCGGGCGTAGAGAAAGTTGTGAGCTTCGTAGTTGTTTTAGCAATGGCTTTAATTTCTTTCAGGTTCGCGCTAGTACAGTGGTGTCCAATTATTTCACATTGCATTGTTTGGATGACTGATATTTTGGTAGGCTGTATAACTCTTGTAGATTTTGCTGACTTCAGTGTACATGACATGAAAAGACAGGACAATAGAGGAACTTTTAAAGGCAGCTAGTATCATCGGGAGCTACGATGAGCGAAGTCTGAGTAAACGGAGGAGTTACAAATTTACAGATGTGATTGCTATTAAAAGGCTGCTTAGCTTGTGCCATGTTGATTATACCATTTTGGGGTGGGATGTTCCTTTGATATGTAAAATCTAAATTCCTGTTGAATTTGTAATTGGGAATGATTTTTAGCGGTTACTTTGGACCTCAGGATTATCATTTTAATGCATACCTTATTCTCAGTTACGGGCTCTTTATAGTAGGTGAAATGCTTTGTAAGCCTTTCCTACAGTCCAGCTGTCAAAGACTTCTTTGCCCCAGTTTTCTTCAACTGGCCAGCCCAAACCTGGTATTGATCCAGGCCGGATTAGACAGGCCCTAAGCCAGCCTCGGCCAAGGCCATAGGCCGAAAAGTCTAGCCTAGGGTGCTTCGGATCGGACTTCAAGCTAGGTGATACCCTACCCAATTTGAGAACATCCTTTGGTCCGGGAACCATTAATTAGGCCCTTTAGCGGGATTGGTACCATGTGATACTATAAATTACAGTTATAAAGTTCGGCTGTTTTTGGCCCTTACAATTTCATAATTAGATTATTTTCTATCCGAATGGGCGAAAGAAAAGAGAAAATGCAAATTTTTTCAACTTTGAAGATAGACAGTAAACGGTGTTGACCGAAAAGATTAAAAGAATGGACAAATGGCAGTCTCTAATATCAAAGCCAGTGGCGTGTGTGGGACCTTCGGTGGGGGAGTTTGTAAAAGAAATGGCAATATTATTATTACAATTAAAGCGATCCCTCCTCGTTATTGCGCCAAGTCAATATAGCTGATTGCCTAGCAAGCTCAGTTCTAATAAATAATATTGTTGTCTACACACTCGATCCTCACTATGAAGGGCAACTGGGTTCCAAAAATATTAAGCCGCCCTATGGACTTATATCTTCAGGAAAATTTATTGTTCGTATCTGAATCAAAAAGAAATGGCAATGTTACGGAATATTAGCAAGACTGAGTTCAAGCGATCTAAAGATATTAGTCAGAGTTCCAAGGATTCCGGCCCATGACCAAAAATAACAGGAATTATTATTTTTCAAACACAAGGTTGGGCGCAAACATATTGCATGATTTCATTCACATAGTTATTATCTTAAGCCACTGAAAAGATATTTAATATAAGTAATTATATCAAACCACAAGAAAGGCTTTGACAAGGACAGTGCGTTAAATTACATGTAAGTTGACAGATTGTTAAATAGTAAATACCATCGCTAATATTCAGAAGCAAACAAACAGCAATACTCATCCGCCCCCCAATAAAATAGTACTCAAAAACTTTATTGAATTACATGACTTGAATCTGATTCATTATCCAAGCATGATTGATCACTCTCTAACAACCAAAGGCTAGTGCATTACACACTCCAGACACACAACATATCATTTTAAGACGGATATATATATATATATATATATATATAGTATTTGAGAATATCACGCATTGGCAATGTCTATGGGGGCGCCGTGCAAGACCAGAGTCTCAGTGGTCAAGCCAGCTCCATAAGCATGAAGAACACCCCGTTTGAGTCCCTCCCCTGCGGCGCCTTTTCCTTCCTCCACACTCTTCCTTCTCATCTCCTCCAATACGAGCAGCACAATGGACTCGACATGTTCCCATACTCTTTCAGCACTTGTTTCGTTGCGCTCAGCTTGTCTTCCTTCAACCCAACCGTTTCTTCTATTCGCTTCAACGTTGCTGCTCCCCCAGGATGCACTATCCAAAACAACGACTTATCACTTATCCCCACTGGGCTCAAGGCTTCTTCCAGGCTCTTCTCTATGCTATCTGCAATCAACTGCGGTACGTTTTCCTTGACGTAAAAAGTGTGCCCCACTTCACGCAAGCGTGCCTGATCTGAACCTTCAGAGTCCGGTAGAATCATCCGCAACGCAGACACAAGATGATACAGTGGTCGCTCGACACTACTGTTAGGTTGGACCCAATGATGACGGCAACAGCACCATCTCCAAACAGTGCTTGGCCAACCAAGGAGGACAAGTGAGTCTTGCAAGGGCCACGAAATGTCATGGAGGTGATCTCGGAGCAAACGGCGAGAACTCTGGCGCCGGGGTTATCCTCGGCGATATCTTTAGCTATACGGAGTATGGCACCTCCGCCGGAGCAACCATGAATGTAAAGCATGAAGCTTTCGGTGGAAAGCTTGAGTCCCAAGAGCTTTATCAATCTGTGGTCAGGCCGGGAGTTTCAATGCCACAAAAATTGGAGAAAGATGAGATGCGTGATCTCAGACTTGGACCTTCCCCATTCCTCGATCGCACTAGAAGCTGCCTTCTCGCCCAGCTTAGGCACCTTCTCCGCCACCATGTCTTGGCGTGCATCGAGGGAAGGTTCATCGTAAGCTATACCTTGGGATTTTCTTTAAGGATGTCTTCTGTCAGGTACAAATGGCCCTTCTCGATAATCGACTTCTCACCTGCTCAACCAAACTTCATTGTCATTAATTAAGGTTAACAATTTGAAGCCGTTGAGATCGGGATGGATGGTAGATGCAGTACGTTGGGTACGCAAAAGTTGAATATCAAGTTCCATGGAAAATACATTACGGGCAGAAAATTTCTCGAAACACTCGATCTTATCAGCCTCATGTACAAGAATACTTAAAAGGTATACACTTAAGTTTCGCGTCATATAAAATGGTGATGAATGCACGCTTGAACGATTCAATGGCTTGCAGACGCGTTGTAACTTGGCTGTGAGGTGCGGCAAGTGGTGGCTGTTTGTCAGTAGGAAGTACAAATCTGGAAAGTCGCGCTGGTAGATAAAAGTGGAGGGAGTGGCAGTGCCGATGGCTAGAATGGTGGCTAAGCCGTCAAGATTTGAAAGCGCCGATGGCTTGGCAAATTGGCCATTTTCGACGGGGTCACTCTCGAGGACTTGCACTGCAAGTGGAAGGAAGAACGACAAGAATTGATTAAATACGGCCGCGAGAATGGAAACGTAGGGACCAGATGGTAAAGAGAATCCTTCTTCACAATCCAACGCTTCTCGTGCATTTGCATTCCTGTTTGTCTTATGTGGCTCCCACTTCCAGCTGGCCATAGTACCAACTGCCAATGTAGCGGATAAGCATTCACCAACCTCGTAAATTCATAATTGCCCATTTATTATTTTTACCTGCCAGCTCCATTACTAGTTACGACCTCGTTGGCTTGTTTCTCCTTGGCATCCAGGGATGAAAACAGGGTGATAAGGCAGCACGACTCCAAACTTTTTATATATTTATTAATTTTTTTAATAAAATGTAAGAACGATATATTTTCAATCTTCGAGTTGATGTATTATATAAGCATAAAAACACTAGAGAAAGTTATCATCTTAATTCTACATGTACTATTTTGTGCAACACATGTATAGTCCAACTATTTTAATTCTTGAAATTATAACTGTCATATGATATATTTTACATTTGATAAAATAAATAATAAAAATTATTATTAACAAATTTTATCAAATATTCAACAAAAATTTAAGATATATTGAATGTTTTATGTTTGATGTCTATCACAAAATTATTTATATTTAAAAAGTTAAGAAACTATGGTTAGGATATTCTTCTAGAACAATTTACTTTTTTTTTTTTGCATAAAGATTTGTTGACAAATAAGCATCATTAGCATGTTAACATATTTATTATTGTCATTGATTATTAATTGAAATGATTAAATAGTAAATTCAATGAGTAGATAATAAAACTTTTTAAGTTGAACACAGCTTTAAATCATTACAATGCATTTAAATCATTTAATGTTCAAAATAAAAATAAGATTTTCACTAATTTAATAATAATTTACATTGAAAAGAAAATTGATCATATATTTGTATAGACATGATAATTGAAAATTTTTATGCTATAAAAACACGGTGAGCATACTTAAAAATGAAAATACAAAATTATTTTTCTTATATATTTATAAAATTATATATACATATATATGTTAAAATTTTTATATCATATTAATAATGAGCGCGCGCGCACAACATTTCTTCTACTATCATTTATGCCATGCTATATTGGCGCTACTTAAAATTTCTGGCCCATCCCTATTGGAAAAAATTGAATTACTCTTTCATTTTCGCTACCATTACCTTTACCATTTACTATATTCGTTTAGCTCACTCGCTAATTTAATCTTTCCATCTTCTTGTATTTTTATTTTAAAATAATTAGCGCTCGGTCCTCCCCCACCTTTTTCTTCTCCTATCAACTTTACTCATAATTGGCATCTACACTAAAGTTGTGCAGTTGACATTTGACACCCCATTAGCCTATGATAGTTGAGGAAATCGTAGGAGTCTTTAAAAAAAAAAAAAATCGTAGGAGTCTAGGAGAGAAGAAATGATTTATTATTCTGCATGCTTCTTTTTATCCTCTCACGCACTCATCCTTGAACTGAATGCCGAGGATGTGGTAACTGATGTTGTCGCCTTAGACGCTCAGAATCTCAGATGGTAGCTTTTTTTTTTTAAAATGTAAAAAAAAAAGTGAAATGCAAGGTCCCGGGGTAGACCCACTCTCATGGGTCAGGCTACCTAAATCCTTACGAACCCAATGGGATTTTGAGCAGCCCAATTCACAAGACCACTGCCTTGATCCAACGTGTCCGTTAAGTCGACCCGTTTCGTCATAGAAAGGGCCCAATACCGGGATTGATTTTAGAATTCCATCCCAGAGTCGGTTTGAGTGAATTCTATAATTTTCTAAGTTTAATATAATAAAGCAGTATATTCAGTGTAGTTACTAGTTATAAAGCATGGAAACGTCGAAACATGTGTGAGCGTGCCTTCGAGCTGATTGGATTGTTCTCCAAGTTTTAATATCAGCGAGTAAATTAGGGGATTTTAGGATGAATTCCACGGCTCAATCGAGTGGGATTCCATGATAACTAATTTTGATTCGGAATTGATTGATGGGCAAGCAAGACCCTGTACCTATATAATGGATCAGCTGGCAGGGTTTAAGAGTTGAAATTGGAATTGATCATCTCAAGGATTGGATGACGAATTGAAGATGACTTCATGCTGAAGTTATCCTTTGCAAAAAAGGCAGTCTCCGATGCAGCGGGTCACGTCACCTGCTGAAGGTTGAAATTGCAGTGAAATCCACCCAAACAACACACTTTAGATGACCACGGCGGACTTTGAAAAGAGAAATCGAATCTTTG